AACTATATAATATAATACATAATGCTATTGTGAATTAATTAAATATTTGAATTAATATTCATAAGAATGTAGCTTTAATTACTTCTTTATTTCCAAAATATTCTTTCTTATATATAAAATATATATAAAATTATCAAAATCAAGAAGAAGTGAAAACTGACTTGGATCCATTGCACCATGTTACTCCCACACAGATTCTAAGTTTCATGTGAAATTAAATACTTTTAAACATAATTATTCTCAAATTAAACTATTCTAAAATTACTTTTTAGACTCTTTAATTACACATAAACGTCAATAATATATTGTCCTCTATTTAAAACTAAAACCAAAAATATTTGGATGCATTATTTTTTATTATTATTATTATTATTTTTTATAGAGGAAAGTATTAATCAAATCAAAATTGGTATGATGTCATTAGAACTAGCCATTTCAAAATTATTAATATGAAAAAGGACAAAAAATATAATATATTTAGTGAGTTAATAAAAATAATAAATTTAAGGAAATGCACGTGGCACAATCAAGGCAATAGGGTATATGCTTAGAAGTTGACTATAGCTTCATATGAATTCAATGATATGACCTCTTCAGGAATTTGAAGAGGTATTTCAGAAGTCAAAATAAACGGGTTTCACATCAACGTCATTATTTTAGCATTTTTTTTTTAAAAAAAATATTTAAATATAGTATCTTATTTTACTATAATATGTAAACTTGATATTAATAATAAGAAATTTAATATTATTTGAAAAGGTGATTAGATAACTGAATGTGCTAGAATAAAAACTGATGGTGGGCTAGTGATGGGCCAGGCCCATTTATAGAAGGAACAAAGCCCATCACTTTTAAGCCTAATTTTGGTCTGCCTTTATTAATATTTCAAAATTGTGGTTATTGAATTTAGAAAGTATTATCTATTATTCGTTTAAAAAGTTATAATTTATCCTTTCGTTTCAAAATACGCATCTATTTTGTATTTCAAAAGGCAAAATCTATTATATGTTTGAATATATTTCAAAGTTGAATTATTCTTAAAAAAAAAAAAAAAAAAATTATCAAATCTTTATTTAAAAAAAGAAAAAGCATCCAGAATCATTCATTTCAAAGGCCATAATCTACTCTTTATTCAAAAAGGTGTCGTTTATTCTTCTTTTGAAAAAACATCATTTCATTATTAATTTCAGAAAGAAAATAGCATTTGTTTTGACATCAGCATCATCTATTATTCATTTGAAAATTATTTTGAAAATGTATCATCAAAAGAAAATATTCACCAAAAGGTTAGAAACTTGAATCATCACATACAAACAAGTACTTATATAAATTTTGAAGATTTTAGACCAAAATGAAAAATTGTAAAATAAGCATCCAGTTATATATATTTTTTAATAAAAAACTTCGAAACATATTAAACAAAAATTAGAATACTTTTAAAGAAATGTACAGTGTCTGGTCTATGATGAACGAAGAAAGAGAGCAGAAAGGAACATAGAGACAGAACCGAAGATACATTTTAGGGTCCTATATATTATATTATATTATATTAATCCACAACCAAATAAGAAAATATTTTCCAATTGGAATGAAAGGGAAATGTTAACGACATTTCTTTGCTCAAGCAGCATCAGCATAGGATGGTTGCAACAGACCGACATAAAGATTCATATATAGAACAGGCAGGTGAGCATAAAAATTTGGACAACCTATATGGCATTCATTGAGTCACAATCGCTGCTCACCCCATGGCGTACTTCTGCGTCCAGCTCCTAGCAGTTGTCTCGTATTTGTTCCTGTCAGTCTTGTACATGTGAGCGATCTCAGGCACCAGTGGGTCATCCGGATTTGGGTCCGTCAACAGAGAACAGATTGAAAGTAACACCTAGTTATAAGCACATTCAAGATTTAATCAGTAGTCATGAAACAGATCATTTATTAGCATCATAAGCATTCAACAAAAAAAACAGTGAAGTCGAGGGAGATCAACCCATCCAATAACCAGAGCTATATTGTTGATGGAGACAAGGTCAGAAGGATATTGTTCCATAACATCAGTAGAGCAAAAAGGTTAGCGCCATTCTTAGTTGAGTTATTTTTTTCTATCTAAATTGGGAGAGGAGATGATGGTCCATGTTTGCACCATCTTTCAAAAGGCATATGGAATCATAGCATCGGTATAACTATGCTAAAGGAACTAGCCAGAGGAAAGTTGGTCAAGATAGGTCATGATCATAAGACTAGTTTAAAAATTTCAAAGACAGCAAACCTCTTGTTTCTTTGCTTTTTTAAGTGAATGGACAAACCTTGGAAATAGTTAGGGCAGGGCTCCACTGCTCTTTCAAAATGTCAAGGCAAATACTACCATTGCTGTTGATATTTGGGTGGAAAACCTTTGTTCTAAATGCCACCTGCAAATCCAATCGTGAGAGGAGGAAATAAGAAAGTTGCTTCCAAGAAAATCCATAACAAGACAAATGCAGAAGCATCACAATTTTTCTTAGGCAAGATATCTTGGTGTATGAGTCACCATCTAATTGATAAGGTTGTCAGACCCATATGCCCACTTCATCTAATTATAAGCAATACCCCTTGCAGTGAAGTAAAGTTACAAACAGATGATGCGGCAAGACAAAGAAACTATCCTAAATAGTATTTCTGCCTTGGACCTCCCCCCCTATAACATACATATATTTTTGTTTTAATGGAAAACCAAGATTTCATTGAGAAGAATGAAAGAATACAAAATGACATATTAAGAAACAGCTCAAAAGCCACTCACCTAGCTATGCAAGAAGGATCTAATTCAAAATGACAAGACCTAGAGGGAAATTACAAAAATCTTTGAACACCAATACCCAAACAAAGGCAACCTAGCAACCGACTAAACCTCTCCCTTAAATATATTGGAGTCAGTCTCGAGACAACATACTAACATTCTTTGGAAAATTTATGTCAAAAAACTGAACAGACAAATGCATGCATGATTGATCAACTATCAACTAAAGATGTAAACGCATGGTCGCAAACCAAAGTACATACTCTGCTACTAAAGCTCATTAAGCTGACAATAGTTGAGCTTGAAGATCAAATGAGAAAGATGAGAAGGCAAGATCAAGATCAAGATCAACAGCATTCGTTAGACATGCTAGGACACACAAGTTCAACAGTAACTATTAATTTAAAAGAAAGTGTCATACCTTAGGAGGCTTAAAAGGATAATCCGGAGGAAAATGAATGGTGACAAGGAAAACACCCCCAGCATAAGGACTGTCTGGAGGACCCATTATGGTAGCTTGCCAATGAAACATATCTTCGGCAACTGGGCCTGAGGAAATTCTTACATGAGTCAGCACCTCAATAGAAACTTACTGTTCTAACTATTAAAACCATTTGGGATATACCAAAAACTCAAAGCACAAATAAATTTGAAGGAAGAATAAAATGTAGATCCTTAAACCCAGTCTTAAGTCTCATGCATATGCACATACTCTAAATTCAGCAACAGGGGTGAAACAAATTAACAAAGGCAATACCTCGATATTCATGCCCAATCAATCAATTTACATGATAACCTCGTTTTTGGAAGCAAGATGTATTCAAGGTTACAAGGAGTTAAAAATTCGAAACTTCAGTTCCAGATGTGAGTATCCCAAGCTAAACTGCTAAAAATTGCTTCCATAAACGTTTACAACGCAATGAAGACAGCATCTCTTCTCACCATGCATAATTACACCAAAACAACTAAGGTGGAAGGCTCAAAGTGAGACTTCCGGAAGAAATAATCTAAGAATTTGAACAACTGAGATGCTCAGACACACAATCGAACCAAATTCTGATATATTTCACATAGGGAATTCATCGCCTCAATTTCCTTTTCATAAACCATGGTGCGATGATCGGACGATCATTCTTCTATCAGATGGTAAAGCAACCAACCCCTACAATTTTCAGACAACAAACTCTCCCTAAAATTCCTTAAGACAATCATCAACACATATTTTCAGGAAAAACAGATAACAAAAACGGTTATACAATCAGCAAGTACAGCAAAGAAGACCGAACAGACAACCAGATGAAGGCAAGTAGCAAAATAGAACAGTGAATATTATAATACCAATCAATTCAAGGAAATCAACACAATATTTAAAAAATCCCAGCCACCAAAAAGAATGAAAAGAAAATAGGAAAATAGTTTCATACCAGCGCTACATGATGTAGGAGGGTCCTTCTGCAAATCCTTGAGTTCCTTCAAGATCCTCTTAGACGCCATCCGAAAAAGCTAACAAAAATCTATAAGATCCAGAATCCAAATCCAAACATCAGATCAGGGCTGAAACTGGTTCACAAACATCAACAAAAGAGAAAAATTTTCTTCTTTTAAATAAAAAGGAAATCTTACAAGAGAGAGGTCCTCGTGAAGGCGCTGTAGGTCTGGTGTGAGGGTTTGTGAAGATGACGAAGAGAGGATGAGGACGAGAAACGACAGAGATGGAAAACTAACGGTGATTTGGTGCGGAATGAATTTTATAGAACCGTTTCTGCTTGTGGACCCCGCCCCAAAGCCGACGTTTTTTATGGCTTCTATTATTTTTATATTATTATTAATAATACATATGTGTGTTTTTGGGGAATTATGTGGGCCCTCCCTAGCGTTTCATTCACGCCACCATCCTTCCAATCTCCTCCCGCCGAAAGCTGCCGCCGAAGACAATTATTCCCTTTTTCTGGTTTGCTTTTAATGGGCCTTCACTTCAAGCCCATTTTCAAGTTGGGCTCCCGCCTCAATACGAACCAGGCCCAACTCAAAGGAAAACATTATTTGAACAGCTTTATTTTATAAAATATTTATTAATAGGTTTTCTCGGTTTACAAAATTCAGAACTCACTCTTTTTTATCATCTAAATCTACCCATCTACTTCCAAAAAAAATTGTAATAAATTTAATGTTTAATAGAAATTGTAATAAATAAAAAAGTTGAAAATTCTTATCCAAATGTCTTTAAAATCTTTTCAGTCAATTAAGATTGATACAGACATGGGAATGAAAAAGTAATTCACTTTTTTTAGGAATAAAAAGGAAAATTAAGCTAACCCCAATTCAACTAGTTTCAATGAATACAAATCAGAAGGCCAAAAGAACAACCTATGTACTGAAACCACCAGCATAACACAACAAAGATGATGATGAGAAATTTCAATGTAAATGTGAGGACGAGCCGATTTCCATTACATGAACTGGAGTCGAATACGCTGATTTCGACCCAGTCGATGGTCGGGTTCCGGTACTCAGTTGCCGAACTTGCTCGATTCTCGACGCGATATCCATCATTTTCGGCCTCTGCTCTGGCATTTTGGCAACACAAGACAACCCAATTTGCAGCATCTCTACCATTTCTTCTTCTATATTTGGATACTTGAGAAGCTCCACATCGAACACTTCTGCTGTCCATTCCTCCCTCACCACAGAGTTCACCCATCTCACCAAATTAACAACTTCATTACAACCTTCAACGTGTATGGGGGACTTTCCAGTCAGAAGCTCCAGCAGCACCACCCCAAAACTGTACACATCAGCTGCTTCCGATACTCTACGACTGTCGGTCAATTCAGGCGCTCGGTAACCAGGAGTTCTTGTGGCTGGTACTGGAGTTGAGTTCATCAATGCAGCCAACCCGACGTCGGATACACAGCCGTATCCGTTAGTGTTGAGGAAAATGTTTGAGGCTCTGATGTTTCCATGGCAACTTTTTCCACCATTTTCTGTGTGAATATGAGCAAGACCTCGAGCTGCTCCAATCGCAATCTTCATCCGAGTATCCCAATCTAACGCACGTAAACCATCTCCTTCTTTACCTGCATCGTAATTACGCTTAAATCTAACGAACTAGGCTTCTTTATAAATTCTATAAAAATGTATCAAAAGGATGAAAATAAAAAGACTAAATAGCAGTTGGAAGCTAGGTGATATGATATGGTACTTACTGTGTAACATTGCAGACACGCTCCCTTGTCCATAGTAGTCATAGACTGTAAGCTTCTCATCCTTGGAATAATAGTATGCTCGTAAAGAAACGACGTTCTCGTGCTTAATTTTTCCAATCAACTCCATCTGCTGTTCAAATTCTCGCTTTCCAACATTCACCTGATTCAGCCTCTTCACTACCACGGTCGTCGAGTCCTCCAAAGCTGCCTTGTAGCTCACGCCGAACGTTCCCTTCCCAAGAACCTCAGCCGATGCTCTCAACAGGTCTTCCAAGTCAAATGCAAGATTAGAATCCTGAAAGAAATTAAGGTTGTTCTTTTGTTCTTGGCTCTCAAAACCCCTTTTCATCACAAATGTTTCCTTCTTTTTGGTCTCCATGGAAGAACTCAGTTCTTTTCCTTTTTTCAACCAACAAGCAGTCAACAGAACAACTAGCAAAAGAAACCCAATAACAGAACCACCAATTGCAATACCAAGTATTGCAGATTCACTTAGCCCTTTGTCTTTTCTTGTCGGTTGAGTACTGGGAGGCTGGAGGGGAATAGATGGGGGAATGGCAACATGTTCTGCAGTAACATTGTTGCCGACAAACACCCAACTCGGAAATCGTTGAAGAGAATGAGGCACATTTCCAGTAAGATTATTATTAGACAGATCTAACCGTTGCAAACTCGGAATATCGAGGTCCGGAATTTCGCCTGTAAACGAGTTGTTTGCAAGATTCAGAACTGTCAAATGACTCAATTTTGAGATAGAGGAAGGAATACTCCCATTAAAGAGATTGTTGGATAGATCAATGACACTAAGGTTATTCCAAATTGAAAAATCTAAAGGCAAAGGACCAGAAAACTCGTTGTATTGCAGATACAGGGAACTCAAGTTTTGTAGCTTCGAAAAATCAGAAGGGAAAGATCCTGTTATCCTATTCAACCTAAGGCTTAGAGTCTCCAGCGCAGATAGGCGGCTAAGAGTATTCACAGGGATAGGGCCGAGCAGACCATTGCCGGGTAATCGTAGGGCTACTACTCTGGACTCATCAGAGTTGCAAAACACTCCCGTCCAGGAATTGCACACAGAACTATTCTCATTCCAATTGAGAGAAGGCGAGTGGGGGATAGTATGGAAGAAATCCAGCAAAGCTTGCTTGTCTTCAACTGGCTCGGTGAGAACCCCCGGCCAGATGATTGCTAAAAACAATATAATCTCGAGGAAGATGAAGCTATTCTTCATCATTTTTCTCAGACAAAAATTAGTATTCCAAGATAAATTGGTTACCAATGAGAGAAACTAAGCTTGTAAATCTGGCTCATACCTGCAAAATTTCCACAGATAGAAGATGCAGAATGAGAAGATGAAATAGTTCTACTAGTTGACTTTCAGAATCACCAAGCAAAAGAACCCCAAATCGCAGACGAACAAGCAAACAAACAAACAAGTTCATCCAGTAGGGTTTCATTTCCAATACCTAAATTACATTACTCCATCAATACGGATAGAACTAAAACAAGCAAGCGTCGCCTCACATACCTTTCAAAAACCGCACGAGATCAATCGCAACAGAGCTCCGATTATAAAATTCTCAACGACCCAGTTCTCTGGGAAAGAGGAAAGGGACGGAGGATAATTGAATTGGAAGTTAAGGAAAGCTATGAATCCCAGAAGGGAAATTTTCAGAAAGAACAAAAAGAAGGCTTAGAATGAGAGAGAGGCGTTAGAAAAGCTCCGTACGTACTGGGTCGTTGGCAATGATAGCGATGGAAGTTGGGAGGGAATCGTTTCCTTAGAGAAGCGGTCTAGGCTCACATGCCACTGCGCAGAGAAAACTTATGTTGGACAATCATTTGAGAGAAGGTCTAAAAGAAGAAGAAGAAGAACAGAGACGAGAAGCGTAATTTAATTGTTAGGAGCCCATTTCTTTATGGCAAGCTGACAGGAGCTTCCATGTGAGGTGGTTGCCGCCATTGATGGATAGTTCTCTTCCCCATCAAGAATAAATATTAAAACCAAACAGTAATCTGCGCATTCCTTTTTTTTCTTCTCCTTCCAACGATACTTAGAATCATATTCGAATTAGAAATAATATGCTTCCTAATCGATAATTAACCATAATTTTTGCATTTTTAAGAATTATTACCATTTAAATTGGTACATATATTTAAAATTAGATATCAGTCAAACATTTTTCATGAGGCCTAAATAAGAAATTATGAATATAATTGAGTGACGGAAGACCATTATAGTTAATTTTAAAGTCCATTTCGAACCAATATCTTTATTAAATATAATAAATGAATTAGGTAAATTTAAGTCTCTTTCAAATAAGAAATAAGTACTAATTATTATTATTTTTGAATTAAATATTTCCAACGCCTATAATTGACCATTGTTTTAAATACATCAACTTGTTTCCGACATCATAAACCGACCATTTTATGTATAGAAATATTTAATATGTAATTAATAAGTAAATTTATAAACTTTTTTTTTTTTTTTTACAAAGATAACTATATTCTTTTTTGTGGTAAAAAAAAAATGTAATTGTTTTAGGCAAGCAGGACATGGCGGACCAAATCCATTGAATTTTGATGAATAATTTTATAAGTTTTTTTAAAACAGTAACATAAATTATTGTCATTTACATGTCACTACTAAGTTTAATAATAATATTATTATTATTATTAATAGATAAAAAAAAAAAAATGAAGGGGACATGGAAAACAGCTCATCATAAAACAGGTCATTTACAAAGATTTCATAAAATAGTTGTATATAACTTGAAAAGCATGCATTCATGTGCATATTATTGCTGTCTTCAATTATGAGATGGAGAATCTCAATCATCTTTGCTGGAACATTTATTATTATTATTATTCAAAATATTGAATCAATTTTTTACTTATAACTCTCAATTTTATTAAATTTGTGAGTAAATACTAATTTTCAAAGTGGCATTATTGAATAAATTAACCAATGAATTTAGTAAACCTAGATGTTCCATGTGATTTTGTAAATAATTATACCACAATATTAGGCATTCTCATAAATTTGGTCAAACTCACACAACACAAATAAATTAAGATTTTATTTTAAAGTAAAATTTAATCAATCAATTATTAACTAAAAAAATTACAATCCTAGGGGTTGTTTGTTATTTCATAATTATTTTTCTAAAAATTAATCCAAAATCACTTAACTATAATTATTTTCTATTAACATAGTAGGAAAAATTAGTATAAAATTATTCTTTAGTGGAGAAAAAAAAAAAGAGTAGAAAAGATTTTTAAAAAATTGTTCATATTAATTTGCAACCCAAGTACGGTGGATACCAGAACGACGTCGCATCCATCTTTTTTTTTTTTTCTTTTTTTTGGGCTAAAATAGACATTTTTCTGAAATTTGCAGTTATAGGGCCCTATTTCAAAAAATTAGATATGTGGCATGCGAGAGAGAGGACGACCCACGTCGTTCAGCCCAGTTAGGTAGAAGTATAACCCATATCATATTCGGCCCACATCAAAATAACATAATTTTCTATTATTAAATATTATACACCAAGAATCTTTCATATATATATATAGCTTAAATTAATAATAAAAAAATGTGAATATATATATATATATATATATATATATATATATATATATATATATATCACACTTTTATTTTATTTTATTTTATTTTATTTATTTATTTATTTTTACTTCAAAAAATTTTTTTAACATATTTTTTTAAAAAAATATATTTAATATTAGTACAACGTTTAACAAATACTTATGTAATTTTCAAAATACATTAAAATGTTTATAAATAATTTATGAGGTGTTTATAAATGATTTTTGTCCATATATTGCTCTTTTTTATAGAAGTAAAAGGTGCTAATACTACCTTTAAAATTTTGTGGTTATTTTCTTTTTAAATTGTAGTTTTAAATTAATTAAACCATGAATTCAATTACTTTTGAATCAAACTTAAATTAATATAAACATAATTCAATTAAAAAAAAGTATCAATCTATACTCTAAATTGAATATAGACTCATAGATCTATGTTTGGTTATATATTTAATTAATGATGGCTTACAAATGTCAATAAATTAAAAAAAAAAAACTAAATAATTTATACGATGTTTAAAAAAAAAAAAAGTTTAAATTAAAGTTTGGAATTTAGTGGATAATCAAAATTAAAATATATATTATATATTTTAAAATGTAATTCTTCATTTGTCATTTGTATAAGATCCTAACTTCAACTTTTATATGTCCATTATATGAAACACGTGCAGGTTTTAGATGTCCTTGGTACATTTTAATCAATTATTGTATTTTATGAGTTGTATGTCAATTAAATTACGTCAAGAATTGTGGGTGTCAACATCCATCCGCAAAAAATAATACAAAATCTATGTAAAGGCCGCTTTCAAAACAACTCAAATTTGATTTCCCCACCATGCTACAACGTTTATTTATTTATTTATTTTCAATTTAAGTTTTATTTATTAATTAATCATTAATAGCAAAAAATTGAAAAGGAACTCATATTTTTTTGTCACGCCAATTTAGTATTAATTATTTTAAAACATATCACATCAATTTAGTATTAATTATTTGAAAATAAAAGCTACTAGATATGAAGTGACGTTTATTAAATTATTAGCATGTACCTCATAACTATTGCTTTCGATCCTAAAGTTTTAATAAAATGTTTTATATGCTATCATTTCATCATCCAATCCATATTTCATTTTCTTATGGACGACATTTTTTAGAAGTCAATTTTTTTTAACGTTTTTATGAAAATGTCCCGAATGCCTTATTTTAAAAGTTTCTAATTTTAATATTTAAAAAACACTATTCCTTTTCGATTTATTTTGAAATTATGGTGGAATATATAAAAATTTCAAAATAAATAACTAAATTAAAATTCTTTGTGTACATAATAATAATTCTTATATATATATATAATAAATTATTGTGTATACACGTAATTAAAGTATTTGGTTAATACATTTTTTTCAGAAAGAATCTCTATGGAGTTGAATAATGTAATTTGGATATTATTTTAAAATGTGGTGTGATCCAAAACTGTGAATGATTTTTGGACATTTATCCCTCTCAAATATTCCCAAATGTTTTTAGGCACTCATTTACCTACTCTTGTTTTATTTGTCATATTACTTTATAGGCCATCACATGCTACTTAAATCTTAACTATTTAAATTCGCTTTTTATTTTTTAAAATTAATATGATTCAAATTGGAATGTTTGGGTCGTTCATGCATGAGTACCAAACTCATCCACATGTTATATTAGTTAGTATTTATAAGTTTTATTTTCTAAAATAAAACATTAAAAATCCTCAACACAAATAAATAAATAAATAAATATATATTTTCTTGCCATATATAGTTTAGACTTGGGTGGTATGAATTGATATAAATAAAACATACCAAAATTGTTTTGAAACAACCTTAGAAATGAAGTAAAAACTCAGCTATTTTCCTTTTTACATTCCTTTACCTATTTTTATCTAACAAAAGAAAAAAAAAACACTAAAAAATATGAAAATTAAGAAATTGTGAAGAATAAATACAAATAAAAAAAAATTAAATCATAACTAATTTAAGGAATGATCATGTATTTATATAAGGGAGTAATACTCTCTCCATTTATTTTCGGTAACTAATTTAATTATTAATTAAACTTTAAAATAAAAATAAATAGTTTTAAAAATATAAATAAAAAAATATATAAATGAGTGAGAATAGAGCGTGTGGAAGATAAAAAAAACAAAAATGGCTATTCATAATTAAACCTCTGTCGACAAAAAACAGGCTCTTGACGAAAAGACAGCGTAGCAGAAGATGATAAAAAGGTCGCGACAAAAGGTTTGGACGTCCGCTATTATCAGTTGGACGTGAGCCATGACGCCTTCACAACTCAATATTTAACGTAACGTCGTCTCTTCCCTCCTTCAACCATTTATGGACCTTTCCTCCTCCATTCACTCTCCTACGTGCCTTCTGTTTTCTCTTGGTTCTTAACGAGCCCTCCAATTTCATACACCTTACGCTATTTTCCTGTTTTTATCCACAAACAACGACCTTTTCCCACCTTAACGAAAGAGAAATAAGAAATTAAACCCCACAAAGAACTCTGCACTTCCTTTCAAAGCTTTTTACATGATTCCCCCCTTTTGGGTCTACAAAAAAGGTGGATTTTTGAACTTTTGTTTGAGAATTTGAGCCGTTTTGTTCGTCACAGAGTCTGTGATCCTCTTCTTCTTCCAAAACCCACGTGAATTTCTGTTTCTGATTTCAAAAAGTTTCTCTATCTCTAGAGGGTTCTCTTCTTTTAGATAAGGGTTGAATGGAAGCGTGATGCGAAGAGCCTAAATTTTGATATCTAATTGAGGGGAATGGAGGACATATGGGGTGCGTTCTGTGGAGGGTATGATTGTTCTAGTGGTACAGACAGACCTTGTGGTTTTGACTATGGATTTCTTTCTCATTCCTCTTCATGTATTACTCAAGCCTTGATCATTTCGTTTGATTTTCTACTCTTGATCTTGCTTGTTTCCAATATTGTGGGGAAGTCAATGAAAAGAGTTCACATGTCGAATCGAATTCGTGGCGGCTCGGGTTTGCTGAGTTTGTCTGCTATCTTCAATGGCTGTGTTGGATTGGTGTATCTTAGTTTAGGCATTTGGAGTTTGGTGGAGAAGTTGAGGAAAGATCACAGTGCTTTGCCTTTGCAGCTGTGGTTATCAGCTTCCTTCCATGGCTTCACATGGTTGTTGGTGAGCTCTATTATTAGCTGCTGGAGTAAACAGCTTCCAAGACCCTTCTTGCGCTTATTGTCCATTGTGGCATTCTTGTTTGCTGGGATTATTTGTATCCTTTCACTTTTTGATGCTGTTTCGAGCAAAATGGCATCAGCAAAGATGGTGTTAGATGTTCTATCTGTTCTAGGATCGGTTCTATTATTGTTTTGCTGTTTTGGATGTTTTAGTCTCCAAGATAGTGAGGAGAGCATCAATGGGAATGGTCTTTACACCCCATTAAATGGTGAGGCCAATGAAAGCGGTAAGCTTGATCCTGTTACTCCATTAGACAAAGCTGGATTGTTGGGTAAAATTTCGTTTTGGTGGATGAATCCTTTAATGAAAAGAGGGAAGAAGAAGACTCTCAACTGTGAAGATATACCGATGATGCGCGAGGCGGATCGAGCTGAAAGTTGTTACTTACAGTTCGTAAACCAAATGAATGAGCACAAAAGAAAAGAGCAAAGTTCCCAACCATCAGTCCTCAAAGTCATCCTTTCATGCCATCGGAGGGACATATTCTTGTCTGGATTTTTCGCTTTGTTGAAGATACTCTTCGTCTCTGCTGGTCCTCTGCTTCTTAATGCCTTCATTTTGGTCGCTCAGGGACATCAAAGCTTCAAATATGAAGGTCTTGTGCTTGCCATTTCACTTTTCTTCTCAAAAAGCATCGAATCCATATCACAAAGGCAATGGTACTTCAGAGCCAGGCTTGTTGGTCTTAAAGTCAGGTCTTTGCTCTCAGCTGCCATTTACAAGAAGCAATTGCGTTTGTCCAATGAAGCTAAGTTGATGCACTCGAGTGGCGAAATCATGAACTACGTCACGGTCGACGCCTATAGGATCGGAGAATTCTCATTTTGGTTCCATCAAACTTGGACCACGAGTGTTCAGCTCTGCATTGCACTTCTGATCCTCTACAAAGCAGTGGGAATTGCAGCCATTGCCTCCTTCATCGTGATAGTTCTATGCGTAGTTGGCAATACTCCAATTGCCAAGCTACAACATAAGTTTCAGAGTAAATTAATGGCAGCACAAGACGAGAGATTGAAGACGTTCACTGAGGCTCTTGTAAACATGAAAGTCTTGAAGTTATATGCTTGGGAAACCCATTTCAAGAATGTAATTGAAAAGCTAAGAAAGGAAGAGCACAAGTGGTTGTCAGCCGTGCAGTATCGAAAGGGATATAATGGCATTCTCTTTTGGTCATCTCCTGTTATTGTCTCTATTGCAACCTTTGGAGCTTGTAGCTTTTTGAACATACCGCTACATGCCAATAATGTCTTCACCTTTGTGTCTGCATTGCGTCTTGTTCAAGAACCTGTTAGATCCATGGGGGATGTCATTGCGGCGATCATTCAAGCACGGGTCTCATTTACACGGATTGTTAACTTCCTGGAGGCACCTGAGCTGCAAAGTTCAAGTGTTTGTAGAAAGCAAATAAAGATGAATGATGACTGCTCCATTCGGATCAGCTCAGCATCTTTCTCATGGGAAGAGAGTTCAATGAAGCCTACTCTTCATAACATTAATCTAGAGGTCAGGCCAGGTTCAAAGCTTGCAATTTGTGGAGAAGTTGGCTCAGGGAAATCAACTCTTCTAGCAGCCATTCTTGGTGAAATTCCAAATGTTGAGGGAAATGTAAGTTCTATCACCATATTTCATAGCTGAATTCATGATGATATGATTTAAATGGTCCTCTAAATTCATTTCACAGATTGAAGTTCATGGAAGGATTGCTTATGTGTCTCAATCAGCATGGATCCAAACAGGGTCCATTCGAGATAACATTTTATTCGGCTCTGAAATGGAGAATTGGAGATATCAAGAAACACTCGAGAAGTGTTCATTGGTGAAGGATCTTGAGTTACTCCCTTATGGTGATCTCACTGAGATTGGTGAAAGAGGAGTAAATCTCAGCGGTGGACAAAAGCAGAGGATTCAACTCGCACGAGCACTGTATCAAAATGCCGATATATATCTTTTGGATGATCCGTTCAGTGCTGTTGATGCTCATACTGCCACAAGCTTGTTCAATGTAATTCACAAATTCTCAATCTTTTTCTTTTTCCTTTCTAATTGCTCAAACAGAATCAAAAGCTAATTGGGTCCATGTCAGGGATATGTTGTGGAAGCTCTCTCGGGAAAAACAGTTCTTCTTGTGACTCATCAAGTTGATTTCCTGCCTGCTTTTGATTCTGTCCTGGTAGGTTCATAGCAACTTATCCAAACATGTTTTTTTTACAAAATTTAGTTGCTTTGCTCCTCGTACTCTGTTTTGAATCAAGATTGAGCTGTTTGAATGCTCATTTCTAACATCCAAATTTGTGATTGCCACCGGCAGCTGATGTCCGACGGGGAAATTCTAGAAGCGGGCCCTTACGATCAGTTGTTGGCACATAGCAAAGAATTTCAGGACCTTGTCAATGCACACAAAGAGACTGCTGGTACTGAAAGGCTTGCAGATTTCTCTGCTATCAAGAGCTTAAGAACATCTTGTAAAGAGATTAAGACATCTTATACAGAGAAGCTGTCTGTAGCAGCATCTGATGATGCTAATCAGTTAATCAAGCAGGAGGAACGCGAAGTGGGGGACTCAGGATTCAAGCCTTATATTCAGTATCTGAATCAGAACAAAGGGTTCTTATTCTTTTCCTTGGATGTTCTCTCCCATTTAGCATTTGTGGCATGTGGGATAACGCAAAACTCTTGGATGGCTTCCAACATTGACAGTCCCAATGTCAGCAACACACGCTTGATCGTAGTTTACTTGTTGATTGGAGTTTCTTCAATATCATTCTTGGTTGCTAGATCAGTTTTAACAGCTCTTTTGGGATTGCAATCATCAAAATCATTGTTTTCTCAGCTACTCACATCTCTTTTTCGCTCGCCGATGTCCTTCTATGACTCCACACCTCTTGGAAGGATACTCAGTCGGGTAAGCATCTTGAGCTGCAACACAGCCCTTTTGAGAATGGAATGAAACCAAGTTTCTTATGTTTTTTTTATCCTTCTATAGGTCTCAATGGATCTTAGCATCGTTGATCTTGATGTCCCATTTAGCTTAATATTTGCTGTGGGTGCGACCGCCAATGCTTATGCTGCTCTTGGAGTTTTAGCCGTCATCACCTGGCAAGTTCTGTTCATCTCCATACCAACAATCGTTTTGGCAATTTGCTTGCAGGTAATGAATATTTTACTAGTGGAGTACTGACTGATATGAGCTGAGATATGAACTGACAAGGAAAAGTCATGTTTTTTTGCACAGAGATACTATTTCGCTTCTGCTAAAGAACTCATGCGTCTTAATGGAACAACGAAGTCAATAGTAGCTAACCATTTGTCGGAATCCATAGCTGGAGCAGTGACAATTAGAGCTTTTGCAGAGGAAGAGCGATTCTTTAAGAAAAATCTTGAATTTGTTGATGGAAATGCCAGTCCATTTTTTCACAATTTTTCAGCCAACGAGTGGCTGATACAGCGGTTAGAGATGCTCAGCGCAGTGGTTCTTGCCTCCGCTGCCTTTTGCATAGTGTTGCTACCGACTGGAAGCTTCAGCCCTGGTGCGGATTTAATATTTTCATCATTTTCAGATATCAAAGCTACAATTTTTAGATGTCAATGTTACTAAGTTCTATGTTTTTCTTGAAGGTTTCGTTGGAATGGCACTCTCTTATGGCCTTTCTTTGAATGTATCACTGGTCTTCTCCATCCAGAATCAATGTAATCTAGCCAATCACATCATTTCTGTAGAGAGATTAAACCAATACATGCATTTATCAAGTGAGGCTCCTGAAATTATCGAAGAAAACCGTCCCCCGACCAACTGGCCTTCTGTCGGAAAAGTGGAGATAATCGACTTGAAGGTACTGTATATGTTAGTTAAAAGCTGAAACCTTTGAGGAGGATCAGCAAAGTAACCATTATGGTATTGTTTTACAGATTCGGTACAGACCCAATTCGCCCCTTGTTCTTCATGGTATTAGCTGCACGTTTGAAGGAGGACATAAGATTGGGATTGTTGGTCGAACTGGGAGTGGGAAATCTACTCTTTTAAGTGCCATATTCCGCTTGGTTGAGCCAGCGGGAGGGAAGATTTTAGTGGATGGTATCGATATCTGCTCGATTGGACTTCATGACCTGCGTTCACGCTTTGGAATTATACCTCAAGATCCAACCCTCTTTAAAGGGACTGTTAGATACAATTTGGACCCCTTAGTTCAGCATTCTGATGATGAAATATGGGAGGTGGGTGATACTTTGTTCCTGACGAGTTCATTCTGTATAATATTTGCTTCAGCATAGTTCTGAAGTTTCTACGTCTTGATCATGCAGGTTCTTGGAAAGTGTCAACTAAGAGAGGCTGTGGAAGAGAAAGAAGCGGGATTGGATTCCTTGGGTAATGTTTTTCTAGTTTCTCCTAGTAGAATTCTGGTTGTCAATGGCTAACATTTTGTGAATACCAGTTGTGGAAGATGGCTCAAACTGGAGCATGGGACAGCGCCAACTTTTCTGTTTGGGACGCGCACTGTTGAGGAGAAGTCGAATACTAGTGCTTGACGAAGCAACTGCCTCGATCGACAATGCCACGGATATGATTCTGCAGAAAACTATTCGATCCGAGTTCGCAGACTGTACTGTGATTACAGTTGCTCATAGAATACCAACTGTTATGGATTGCACAATGGTGCTTGCTATCAGTGATGGTAAGTTTTGCGAAGATTTTAACATTCTTAAGCAAAGAATTCAGTCAAAAACAAGTTTAAAAATGAATCAATCCTGGTTTTGTTATGCACAATTTTCAGGGAGAATAGCAGAATATGAGGAACCGAGCACATTGATCAAGAGAGAAGGGTCTCTATTTGGACAGCTTGTGAAAGAGTACTGGTCTCACTCACCATCTGCAGAATGAACTTGAACCTATTTGTTCTTTTGCTTTCTGACGAGAAATTCAATAATGGGGAATGGATCTTGAAGCTATTTGTTGTGATGCAATCTGCTTCATTCAGAAATGGCCATTTCCCCATCAGAGAAGCTTTATTAATCTGTAATAACCACATTTTGCTAGGGAAAGATATGTTCTGATCCAACCCATTTCCTAAGCAATTAGTTTCGTTAGGGATTCAAGAGTTTGTAAAGTATCTTCCCAAATTCCATTCTCAAACTGCATTAATGTTCATCAGTACCAGTAAATTTTGTGGGGAGAAGAATATGTGTTCTATCAATTTTATTCCCCTGTTCATCAAAGCAGTACAGCATTGAAAGGTAGAGTGTAGTGAACAAAAAGTGGATTTCATTGCTACCAATTGTGGAATGGGAAGAAAATAGATCAAGAAATTATGTTATATATATATTGACAGAAAGGAATGAATGATTGCAATACATGGAGTAATGATACACTGTGTTCATGGTCCTCCGAGTACAGCATTCTCAATATCTTCTCTGCTTAGTGCATAGCTAAATCTCCTCTCCACGTCTTTCTCAAGATTTCCTGGTCCACTCTTTAGATACCTGCAAAACCAACATGTGCATTGTGTAACTATCAAATTCAATCGTGTATTCACTAGAAGAGGTAACATGGGAATTGACTTGAGGATAATTCGTTTAGGGAGGTTTGTTAGGCTAGCAGTAGTGTATTAGTAAGTAGTCTCTTTGTTATCACTATGCTTTGTATTTTGGATGGAACAACGGTTCAATTTCTGGCACTCTCGAGATTGCTGGAAGGTTATCATCGTTTTCTTATATTGTAATAGTTGTGTTTGACAATCGAATCGTAAGAAAGAAAGTATTCTTACAGAACAATTGATAACAAATTATCAGACTCAAAAGCCAGAATTGAAATGCACCAGCTAGCCTCTCTCTACTCTCACAACCAAAAAGTTGGGGAAGTTTCATTCGTGATTTAAACATTTTGGTGCACTGCAAGACGTTTACGAGCAACCAAGAGAATTTAAAACCCGATCAAGTTTCAAAACAACGGTAACAGCCAGGCTATAACAATTCTCCCTGGTCATCTGTTGGGAAAGTTACTGGCATGTGGAAAAGAGACTGAGCTAGGCTGTGCAACTAAATCTATATTACAAGGATAAATTGAACTGGATGTAACAGAGGAGCCTAAACTAAGGTCCTCCATTTGCAGGAATGACTAATGTTCTTTTGCATCTGCAAAATGTTCACACTTCAAAACGGAACAGATCCCGTTTCCATTTGAAGTTGTAAGCAACCTTTGAAGTTTACAAACCCACTTTCTGGACAATTAATTGCATTCGAGGTCGATTGATCCACATGAATCTCGAGAGTGGATGGTTGACCGCTCAATACCTCAAAATTTTACACGCTCAATATCCTACTTAAACATTTACAAAACCCCCTCTCTATTATAACCAATCCAGAGGCCAAATAATAGAGAATTGCCCATTCTCCCAGCTCAATCTTGACCATAGTTTCAATAATGACAACTGCAAAGCATCAGTTTTCTATTCTCTGCGGAGATTTAATACATAAAACAAGCATATCACTTAAAGCAACCTAAACGAAGCAGTTGTCATATGGATGCCTGAATGAACACAACCCCAGAATCAAAATGCCATCGATATCTTACACAAGTTAAACAACCTAAAGAAAAATCATGGGAAAAGGACTCCAACAAAATTCTCAAACTAACGTTTGTTTCCTGATAAGAAAGTAACATGTAGGGCAACACTGAATGATTCATCCTCAATTCAATTCACGAAATAACCCTAATCAGAAAACGCAATTAAACGGCAAAGAACCAAAATCAAGATTGAAAAACACAAATCCATGTCATAAAATCACAAAAAGGAGACCTATTGCGAACCTTATATAAAGGTCGGTGACATCCAGGGAGAGCTGAGCGTGCCATTCAGGCTTCTCGATTAGCCACACGGCTCGGTCCTCGTTACTCTGGTAAAATCCCAAGTTCTTTAACCAAGCCTCGATGCAAGGCAAACTGTGAGAGTACAAGGGCTTCTTCTTTTCCGGAAGCTTGTTCAGCCACTCGTCCTCTGGAGCAGAGAGCTCCTCTGCCTCGGATGACTTGGAAGAGACAATGCTCAAGCTTTTCCTGAAGGATTGAGAGATGGGGTTGCGTAATTGTGGGAGTTTAGTGGAAATGGGACGCCAAATCGATGAAATTTCGGGATGATTTGAAACGGGAGAAGGGAAAACATTGGTACAGAGAGACTGAAAAGCAAAAGTGATGGACATTATCCTATCAATCTATATCTATACGTATACTTATCAAAATCGCTAATTTATTTGCAAACTCCTGATAGAAATGGAAGCACACAGAGAGGGTCCTCCCACTTTCAAGGTAGGACTCGGAGGACTAAGAACGAAACCCCGAAAAGAAAGCGAGAGGGTAAACCCCGTTATCGGTTATCTGGGAGTATTTTATTTTATTATTATTTTTAAGCTCTACAATTAGAAAATCTGCGTCAAATTTCAGACTAATTAACTGATAAAAGACATTATTTTCTAATAAAGTTACAAAAAATTTACCCTTTACATGAACAATGCATAACTAATTTTAAAAGATGAAAAAAAAAAATCGGTTTAAAAAATATTTATAAACTTTAAAAAATAACATTAATAAGTTTAGAGATAACCAATGACCGATAGATAGACGATTTTTGTCCATATATTGATGGTAAGGATTTTTTTTATAAAGATAAAAAGTGTTAATGCTACTTATAAAATTTCATGGATATTTTTTCAACATAGTAGTAACGGTGAAATGTAAGAGGATTGACATTCAAATGATCAAAATAATAATGTTTTAAGAGTCAATTGAACTGTATTTATGTAAGTCTTTTTTTAACATTATAATACAAAGATATAGAATCGTATAAATATAAAGTATGATATACGTATGTTAAAAAATGATACTAATTGACCAAAGTGTCGAGCCCTAATTCCCTAGTGCCAACTCAAAGTCAAATCGATTGCGTGGGTTGCAAGTATATATTAGGATAACACATAGAAAATGGGAAGCTTGTAAAGGATTTAAAATTTGAATTTTTCAATTCCGATTGTATTGTAAAACTGATACTAGAATTTCTTGTCATCTAAATCTTACTTCCTTAAAAATATATGCACTCAAGTTTAGCTTTAAATTCATTAAAATGTAGATATAAAGTTCACAAACCATCTTAAATCGACCTAAGAAGTATCTGCACTATTACCTAACAATGCAAAAGAAAACTCTCTAAGATAATCACGAATGATCTCGAAAGGATCATCCTCGTTGAAGATACACAATTATTTCTACCAATCTCTATATTATTTTAGACATGCATGTTTTAAACTTAGAAGCATACCCGTGCAAGATTTTATCGACCAACTCAATAACCCTGCTTGGCCAGATCCAAGCATCTGCCCTTGGTTTAGTGCTTTTGTCTTGAATTATTCTTGGTTTTAGAATAATTCAAATTAAACATTATCTTTAAGGCCTGCCCCTTGTATTAATCCTAAATTTACGAGGTCAACGGTTTAAGATTCAACCCAAATTTTTTATGCTTATGTTCTTATCTATAAGCCTAAATAGTTATAAAACTAATGAAACTTCTGTCCTTGTCAAAGGCTTTAAATTTAAGCAACATTACAATAATGATATCAACAACATAGTCTCAACACATCTCTATATTTTTCTATATCAGTTTCATGGTTGAAATTTTCAAACACAAGCTTTCTTCACTCTATAAATAGCACCAAACCACTTCCAAACCTCAAACCAAGAAAGCAAAAGAAATCTCAGCAAAAATGGCTACAAGTTTGCAAACCCTTGTTCCAATTCTGTCTCTCCTTCTCTTGGCTCATGTTTCGACCTCCTATGGAGGCAGCATTGCCATCTACTGGGGCCAGAGTGCTGCCGAAGGAACTCTGAGAGAAGCATGTGCCACCGGAAGATACAAGTACGTTATGCTTGCTTTTCTCAACAAGTTTGGCAGCGGTCGCACCCCGTCGATCAACCTCGCCGGGCATTGCAACCCCGCGAACGGCGGATGCATGGTGGCCAGTCGTAACATAAAGTTCTGTCAAAGCAAAGGGATCAAAGTTCTTCTCTCCATTGGTGGTGGCATTGGAAGCTACTCCCTGGCTTCTCCTGCTGATGCCAAAAGCTTCGCAACATATCTCTACAACCACTACCTCGGTGGCCGATCATCCGCTCGCCCGTTGGGCGACGCAGTGTTGGACGGAATAGACTTCGACATTGAGCTCGGCTCGACAGCAAACTGGAATCTCCTTGCAAGGAACCTGAAGGGCTTCAGTAAGCCAAGCAGACGAGTCTACTTATCAGCTGCTCCTCAATGTCCATTCCCAGATAGGTTTCTTGGCAAGGCCCTGAACACAGGCCTTTTCGACTACGTTTGGGTTCAATTCTACAACAATGCTCCATGCCAGTACGCACCTGGTAACATCAACAAGCTCATATCGTCGTGGAACCGCTGGACGTCATCGGTCCCGGGCAAGGGGAAGATCTTTCTTGGCCTGCCAGCAGCTAGAAAAGCTGCAGGAAGTGGATATATTCCTCCTTCTGTGTTGACTTCGCAAATACTTCCAAGGATAAAGAGGTCGCCAAGGTACGGAGGAGTAATGTTGTGGTCTCGCTATTGGGACAAACAAACAGGATATAGTGCTGCCATAATAAAAAAGGTCTAATATATAATTATACTATAAAAGTCTAATAAATAAAATATGTACGGGTCGTCTTCACATCTCTTCTCCTGAGAGATGTTTTATGTTCCTAAGTGTCTCTTATGTGTAATGTAATCTTCTAATGAAAAATAAAATAAATTACATTGTTTGTATAAGGTCATTTTCCAAGTCTCATCCAAGAATCCAAGTCTCATCCGAGAAAAATAAAATAAAAATATCATATAAACTAAAATTAATTCTTAGAAGAGTAGTTTCGAAACATTTTCAAAATATATTTGAAACAAACGGTAAAATTCAAAATGAAAGTTTATAAGCATTATTTTTTGAAAGAAGAAAAGTTAATATTTTTCGAAACAATCTATTGAGGATTGTTGGTGGGAAGTCCCACAATGATCACGATTAAATAATAAGAGAATAAAGAGAATGATTATGAGTTTATAAGTAAGGAATACCGAATGAGAGACCTTTTGGAGAAACCAAAAGAAAAATCATGAGAGCTTATGCTCAAAGTGGACGATATCTTACCATTGTGGAGATTCATGATATCTAACCTGAACAGGAAGTATTTTCTTTTTTAAGATAAGAACTCCAAAAGATGAACTAGATTCTGTAGCAGCACAAACAAATCAAGCAAGTATG